AATTGTATCTGTGCTCCCTTGCACGAGCCTGTACAGTTCACTTGGTCTGGCCTATGTATTGTATGCCTCAAAATCTACACATAATTACGTATATTATACTAGTTTTTTTGCAATTAGGGAGACAAACGGGAACCGGTGACGGAGGATTGCACCAGTCCGTCAGAAAGAATCATACGGCAGCATATACAGTTACCGCCGCAGGAATGTGTGTAATAGCGAATGTTATCAACAGTATTAATAATGCGGGTAGTGCTACCATGTACACCAATGCGAAAAAGTTGCTTTATCGTGTGACCACCTAATGGTTGAGCTAAAACATTCGTGGGCAATCTGCCGGATGAAATAGCTTGGTTATAAGCGGTTCTAGTTTTTGCAGACCAAAAAAAAGAAGGAATGCACCTGGCTAAAGGCAAAAACTCTTTTAGGAACCGTGCAACTGGGCAGGACTGCTGCCTATCGGGCTATGACCAATACCCAAATTCCCCCACCAAAGCCAGGCAGCACCAGGGTTCCCGGTCTGGCGGCCTTTTAACTAGTAGCCAGTGGAGGAGCTCCCAAAACCGATAGCGGTCAAGAGGTGGGAAACTTTCTAATGTGAAATGGGTGTAATGTAGGTTGGTGAAGGGAATGGGATAAAAACCGGGTGAAAAGTTAAAAGAAAATATGCTAAATACCATCCAAGGGCACATGTAAATTAAAGTGGTGTAAACGCGTGTAAGGGAATTGGTTAACATATGATATGGTATATGTGGTTTTGAGCGGGAAAGGTGTCCCCCGTGCAAACTGCATTAGCATTTAAGGAGCACTGAAGTTGTGGCATAGCATGAAGTAATAATGAGAAGGGTAACTAGTGATAAGCTATAAACATGCAAATGGGCTAAAAAAATTACCGTGAGGAATAGAATTGCAGATGAAGGTGTAGAGTAGTAGAAGAGGTGAGATAAGCCGGTTAATAGAAGCGTCATCTGAACGATGACCCAGATGGCGACGACGATTGATGATGAACGGACAGTAAACTGCGAAATGCTTCCGCCAAAAACCTGGTAATGATAATTACAGGCGGATTTTTCCGGCGCGGTCATGAAAGGTCACTATGATTAGTCTAGAATGACCTACTATAGTAGAAATAGGTTGCCAAACTGGACTTATTTATTTTTTGAAGGTCTGGGAATTGTTGTGGAGTGAATAATTTTTAGGTTGTGTTTGGAGGGTATGTGTAAAGCGCATTACGAACAGTAAGCATTACAATCGAAAGAGTGCAAATGATGGTCTTGCGACCAAAAATGTGATGCATGCTCCTAAGAAGCATGCTACATATGGTTGGAGGAGCCTAACAGCTGCTTCCCATGTATGAAGTAGCCTAACAGCTGCTCCTTCATGTGCGTGCTGCTAATGCTAATCAGCACAGTATGCAGAAGAAAGGTGAAGAGGGATGCTAAGATGGGGTGACGGGAATGTGGAATTAGAGATCGATACAAGAGGACAGCAATGCGCTAGGCGACGGTTTTCGCCTGTCAGCTCTAGTACACGCTGCTGTTATGAAATAGAAGAATAGAAGAATTCGTTTTTCGCAATTCTGCGCATGGAACCCATCCACAACAGTATTACGTTTCATGCTGAACACTAAAAGAACCTGTGGGGGTGCAACTCCCCCTCCTCCCGCTCTCCTCCTCGCGGTCCTACAAATTCCGCCGTTCCAATCTTTGCTTCCAATTAAGCTTTTCCTGGTCAGTAGCCCCATCCTGCCCTTTAGCTTCCTGAGTTTTACAGGTCTGGAAAATGAAATATACGAGGTTTACGCACATGCATGTATCAGTATGCACAGTCAACTTTTTGAAAATATACGCTTCTACACTTGCATAAGTTTGCAAAAAGGCATGATCACACAAAATTTGGCAAATCGACTGAT